CACTGCTTCCATGTTCTTATACAACTTGACATTAGAACATGCGTCTTCTATCACTTGCGCCGTAGTTGGAAACTTTTCAGGTCTTAGGCAACAAGAAATCCTCGTATCTCGGGGTACACGCCTTCAGCTTCTGCGCCCAGATCCAACGGTTGGCAAGTTAACTAATGTACTTGTTCATGATGTTTTTGGATCCGTCCGTTCCTTGGCAGCCTTTCGTTTAACAGGGGGAACAAAAGGTGAACCGCAAACGAAAACCCTGTTTTTTGGAATTCTGACTGACGAAGTTTAAAAAACAGACTACGCCATAGTTGGATCTGACTCTGGTAGAATAGTCATTATGGAATACGACACCAAACAGAACACCTTCGTCAAGCTCTACCAGGAAACGTATGGAAAATCTGGAGCTCGCCGCATCGTGCCAGGTCAAATGCTAGCTACGGATCCCAAAGGTCGCAGTCTAATGGTTAGTGCAATGGAAAAAGCGAAGCTTGTCTATGTCCTAAACCGCGACGCCGCTGCCAATTTGACCATCTCCTCTCCACTTGAAGCACACAAATCCTCTGCGATCATTCATCATATTGTAGGGGTTGACGTTGGATTCGAGAACCCTTTATATGCTGCGCTTGAAGTGGACTATTCAGAGGCAGACAATGACCCTACAGGAGAAGCATATACGAATACTGAAAAAGTACGTCGGTTTTACTTCTATAGTATCGCTTATAACATATCCTAATAGATGCTCACTTTCTATGAGCTCGATTTGGGCTTGAACCATGTTGTAAGGAGATGGAGTGAGCCTACAGATCCCAGAGCCAATCTCTTGGTGCAAGTGCCAGGAGGACAAACAACATCTGGGGATCCACCAACCGTCCGTATAGACGGACCATCCGGAGTACTTGTATGTTGTGAAGATCATGTCATTTATAGACATATGGATCAACCTCAACTTCGCGTTCCGATACCTCGACGAGAGCACCCATTAGAAGACCAATCCCGGGGACTCTTGATCATTTCTGCTGTAATGCATCGCATGAAAGGAGCCTTCTTCTTCTTGCTACAATCTGAACTGGGCGATTTGTACAAAGTCACTCTGGAACATCAGGATGAAGACGTCGTGGCGCTTAAAATCAAGTACTTTGACACTGTCTCAGCAGCTGTCAACCTATGCATTCTAAAATCGGGTCATCTATTCGTTCCATCTGAATTTGGCAATCATT